CTCTGGAGGGTCAAAGAGAGTGAAGAGCAGCCCCCTCCCCAATGGTGGTCCAACTCATCATTGTTAGTTGCCATTTGCATCGAGTCTGGTTCATGGGGACCCCGTGTGTGCAGAATAGAACTCTTCCACCAGACAGTCAAGGAGGCAGATGGTCCAGCCTCTCTCCTAAAGCTCCAATGAGTGGGTTTGAACCCCCTTTCTATCAGCAGAGCGCTTAGCCATCTGCTTTCCTTTCCCCTGTCTGGACTCCTGTCCAGACAGTTAGAAAGCTTGAATCCAATCAGTCTCACATCTGCCCGAGCAGGAATGATGGGGCCCACACCTGACCCCTTCCTTCTCAAAAACAACCCCCAAACCATTCATGTGTCATGACGGGGACATTGTCATTACAGGAACATTAGCGTATGTGGTGGTTGAGGATGATCTCAGTGTCCTTGACTCTCTTGCTACTGCCCCCCCCCCTTGCCTGTGAGTGGGCTGTGTGACTGCAGTGGCCAAAGGAACATGGTGGGAACGGCCCCACGTGTTCTGTGTGTGCATCTTAGCAACTGGCAGTTTCTTGCATTTCAGAGCTCTCTCTGATGAGTCCTGAGCCACCAGGGAGGTAGGAAGCCCTCCTACCCTGACACCACCAGGCCGGAGACATAGGTAGGGACAGGCCCTGAGACAATGCGGAAAGAGAAACTAAGTCCAAGGGAGTCTAACTGCCCAGACTCAAGACGTGGGCGAGGTCATCTTAGAGCTTCAGGGCCAGGGCGGCCGACTTCTCTGCCGTGAGGCTCCTTAGGTTTTGTGGGCCATCCAGTCTCTGTCACCAGTACCCACGTCGACTGTTGCAGGACATAAGCAGCCACGGACAGCACGTGGATGAAGGAGTGGAGCTCTACTCTGGGGAAATGCTATTTACAAAGCAGGCAGTGGACTAGATTTGGCCCACGGCCCATCGTTTGCCAATCCCTGCTGAATGCCCCCGAGTTCTCCCCACCTAACTAACACATGTGGAACGGAAGAACTGCCCAGCAGAGCCCTGCCCAAAGGGCTGGCCCACAAATGGTAAGATAGGATTACAGGGGGTGCTGTTTTCAACACTACCTTTTGGAGTCAGTTGTTCCAAAGTAGATAACCAGAACCGTGTATTCAGGGTCCCAAGAAGTCCTTTTGGTTAATCCCGCAATTTCCAAATCATTTGACAAATGTCTACTCCCATTGTAAGTGCGTAACTCAACTTAATCTCTTAAAACTCTATTTCAGAAGGTGGCGATGCTGGAAATACTCATCAAAGCCACCACACATTGAAGTCACATCACTTGCCAGGGACAATCGTAGGTCATTCCATGTGGTCTCTCTAATCCTCATAATTTCCCTGCGAGTGGATATCATAGCTCCTTTTTACAGGAACGCTAAGTGCCTGTGGGGTGGGGGGCAGGCTCCACCCGGGGTCTTCCTGACTCCAAATCCTGGGCCCTCTGCTTCATCCCACTGCACCTTTCCAGATGGGGCAATCTCGGGGGTGGAGGTGCTTAGAGACTAGTGATGACAAGTGACTGCAAGCTCCCCGAGGTCAGGGACCTGTCTCCCTTCTCCACTGTGGCATCCCAAAGTCTGGAACCCTGCACGCGGTGGGGCTCGACAAATCCTTAGGGATGGGT